TTATTATAATCAAATTTGACAATCACAAAATCAGTGATTATTAGACATCATTTTGATGATTTATCGTTCAATGTTCATTTCAACTTGAGTTCAGTTAACACCCAATTCTTTTAATTTCTCGCTATCGCTTACGCAGTTGAGAGAAAATTATGTAATGTGTAAAAAACGGCAAATTATTGGCAGAAAAACTCTTATCGTCAAGTCTTCATAAGCCAAAAGTGAAAAACTCCAGTTGCTAAAAAAGGAAACTAGTGGTGCTAAAACAGCATTTTCATCTTTAGTAATAGTTATGAAATACTATTAATACCACAGTTTCTCTGCGAATTAACATATCAAGTCATTTTTTGTAACATTCATTACAAATTGAAGAACATTTGGTTCAAAACCTAAATATTGTCAAGTAAATATCAACACAAATTTGACAATTATAACTACTTTTCATACAGGTAAGTCACGTCCCAAGAGTAAAGACATAATTCACAGAAATTAGCTCCTGAGTCAGTGGCTTAGCCATTATTGCATTCTCTGAATTCTCTGAATCTGATATGCCATGAAGACTAGAATTTTTTATTTAACAATATTTCAAATAGGTTAAAAAAAATTTCCAAAAGATTTATTTGTAAATAAGTTCGAATGTAAGAAACAACTAAAGTACGAAAGAAGATACAAATTCGAACTTACGACACATCCAACTAACCTGGAATTATGTTCCAGAAGCACACTAAATTCAGAGCAGGCGACTATGTTTGTTGTCAAATTACACACAAAAACTTCTATTTTCAAAAAATTCGACATGACCTTCTTTGAAGATCTGTTTTTGATGGACGCATTTTCACTATGAAAAAAATTGTATCTGACAATTGTAGTTGTAGGAAGACGCCAAAAGTTTTCAATTTTATTTATTTTTTGAAAAATCAGGCTTTCCAACAAACATTAGTCTTGCACCTTCCTCTTAAGCTTCCTTAACGGTATCTAAGCTCCAAATCTTTTCCAAAAATTTCATGATATTTTTAAGAAAAAATGTATTAAAGAAAATTAAAATTGCCTGTATACTACACAAAATTTTCCCCAAAATGCTCATGTTTCCAAAAAATTGAACATATTATTTTTAGATGTTTTTCAAAAACAATTACCCGATTTCTCATACAGTATTATACAACTTTCTCTGTACTGCGTAAGCGGTAGCAAGAAGATAAAAAATCCTCTAACATGTAATCCAGAATACATTTTGTAGGTCCTTGATACTGAAAATCGATTGACGGCAAAATGTCCTTACGTCTGATTGAACAGCACTAGCGTCTAAATTATGCGTATGTCTTTTTACAAACTGTGCTTACAATGCACTTTGGGCAACAATACATGGTAGCTGGGTAGAGAATGTGGCTAGTCCAGACTGGAGAAATTAGAAAACTAACTACTATGAGAAAGTCTGTGCCATTCTGTAACACCACTAGTTTCTTTATTCAGTACTAACAATTCCGCAACTTTTCTCTTCTGTTCACTCTCTCATTCCGACTGTTTCTGTAATTCCATTTCTCATCGCTTACATTCTTTAATAGCGTTTTTCTGCTTAGCTCCGACCCGACAAGCATAGCAAAGTATGCCTTGATTGACTATGATGGCACTTTTTCTCCACCTATAGTTCAAGGTTTTATTTTGAATGTCAGTTGAAGCACTAATGTGCGCACGCATAGATCCTAAAATAAACAATGTGGGCACAAATTTCATGAACACGAAGCAAATTTAAAAGCTGTGTGTCTTTTCCTCTCAGACGGATAATGTTTAAGAGAGCTTGTGGCGTTACAGTTTATACTAAGAGTGAAGATTCAAATACATTAGACAACATTTTTGAGAGTATTGTGCAATTTCTTAGTTTATGTCTTAAAATGACACAATTCACTTAAAATAGTTTTTTTTTTAAAAGAATGATTGATATAATGAACACAATTTCTTATAAATAATTATACTACCTATTAGAAATAATTGTTAGCTGGAATTCTACAACGACAATCAATTCTTTGAACGTGATAACTTTTTCCGTGCGTTTTCTCTCTATTTTATCTGGAATTGAAATTCCCAGCGTTTTCCAGAAAGTGATCACCCTGAATTAGTAGTGGGATATGGCCTTTCAGATCACCTGATCTAAACTGTCACAAGATTTTACTTTGGGGATAGTTGCAAGATTTGGTGTAAGCAGAAAACTGTAGAGAAGAAGAGCTCCAGTGCCCCATTTGGGGACAAACTGTTACAATCCTGTGCGATTTGCTTCAAAGAATAAATCAGGAAGCATCAAGAACAAATTTGAGCTATTTGGCACAGTTTTGAGCATTTTGCCTAGGATAAGTTAAGTATCGTGGCTGCATGCATCTTAGCACAGAGGCAGAGTCAGTGCTTTGCTGGGCATCCACATCTTCGCTCACTGGGCAACTTTTCCAGTTTTTTCAGCAACTAATAAAGTCTGCAATGTACTATAGTACATTGTTGTTAATGTTACAATATCTAGACAATACGTAATTTGAAATTTTAGTATAAAATTATTTGTTTATGCTATTATTTAATGTTAATTTTACCTCCAACAAGGTACAGAACAGAACAATCCAGATTTAACATTAATTTCTAGAAGTCCTGATGCTGCCTAGATGTAATTAATGCAACTGTATTTCCAATTTAACGTTATTAACTTTGATGGCCAACCTTCATTTAACGTTATAAAATTTTGAACTTTTATTTCTTTCTTTTTTTTTTCTCTCCACTAATTTGGAACTCATGTCATCTGTCGTGCAGTGCAGTTAATTGTAGTGTACGAAAACAGTCAACTGCTGCAATGACATCTGTATCAAGGTGGTGATACATTATGTTTACTGCTCTGAATCAGACTGTGAAGTAGCAGAAGAGTCACTCATCTGTATAAATTTTGCTCTCTCGGAGAGAACTGTATGATAATATTTTGAAGTAATTATGTATTGGAAGGTCCATAGATTATGTAACGCACATTTATTTTTAATACTCCCTCTCTCCCCCCTTTATTGCATGATTTTTAATCTTTACTTGCAATAATTATATTTCATTACATTTATTTTAAATAAGGGAAAAATAATAAAAAAAATTCAGAAGTAAATATTGCTCGAGAAAAAAAAAAAATCAAATTATGTTACTCCTGAGTTACATCATGCAGTAAGGATATAAAATTCTGCTACTCTGGATATTGTTTCCTGATTACATACAGGATAAAAAGAATTAAGAAATTCAAAAACATTGATATGAAAGAAACAGATTAATTTTATGCAGATTACATTAAATTAAATTTAGATTTTAAGATTAGTATTTTAATATTTTTAAATGGATTCTAATTGTGGAATCTAAGGAAACAATTTTTTTATGCATGGATTGATATTACCTGTTCCTAAGTTTCCTCTGTTAGTTGAGGTATGTATATGGGTATCATGCACAGTTTGAGAAACAAGAGAACCTTTTATATTTCAAGAATCTGTTTATCAATTTTTGAGAACGTCATCCATTTATCTTCACAAATTATTGACAAGGCCAATTCATCTCACTGTTGTATAGTAAATTCTAAAGGTTTATTACTTCCCGTTCAAATAAATTGTCTTACACTCAAAATAAACTTACTTAAATTAGAAAATATAAATTCAAAGTAAATCACGAAATGACTAGATCAAAGATACATTTTGTAGCGTACCATATATGCACGATGTTACCTGAATTACAAAACAGAATATGCTATAAATCTGATAAACAGAAACAGTGACACATGGAAGGTTCAATTCACAATGCCACTAGATTACTATCACTTCAATTCCTTCTCTTATCAAAATTACCACCTGACAATGGATGGGGTGATATGAACACACGATGTACATCATGTGTAATATAAAATAGTTCATAATTAAATCATTAGAATTTGTTTAGGACCTGAAAAACAATATGTTATACCTGATTTACACTATGCAATAAAGGGTTAATGAATCTCTAACAGTTCTTGAACCCCCTGTACATTTTTACATAATGCTTGTGACAAGACCCCTCCGGCCCAATTTTTAAAATGTAATAATAAATTATAAAGTAGAAAAAGCAAATTGTATTTATTTTATTTGTGTTGTATATTAAAAGTTATAATTTAAATCAGAGTTACTTGGCAATGCAAACTGTTCCTAACAATAAGATTGAGGATGATTTTTGAAGGAAGGAAGGAAGGGCACATATACATGAAAATTTCTCAATATACACTATGCACAGGCAGTTGATGACACACCGGTTGCGAGTCTATCATGCCAATTTAAATGGTTTTTAACAAAACTATTTTCTTCGTAATCTAACAGATTTGATGAAAAAACGTTTTGATTTATTGAAACTATGATGTATTATATCATAACTTTATAATTTATTGATATCTTTTTATCTATTTTGGTAATATTTTGAAGTTTTAGTATAATACTGAATAAATGTCATTATTTCACCAAATGTAGAAAAATATTTAAAATAAATATCAGCATCATGGAACATTAAACCATGACTCCTTACCTCTACATAACACACCATAACACTGCCCAATTCTTTATCATTACATTATTTACAAATGACCCCTATGTTAAAAATAAGCATTTAAAAAAAAAATAAAATCCATAATTCCTGTTTAATTTTAACTTGTTTCTTCAAAGAATACCCCAAACCTTGTTAAGTGTAAATGTCCCTTAAACGTGATAATCACTAGGCCCTCTGAGGTAATGTTCCAAATATCAGAAAGCAAGTTCGCTATTGTACAAAATATAAATAAATTTACACACACACATACAAAAATAAGTTGCTACGATATATTACTTACCACGAGCAGCTGTTGAAATTCCGGCAGCATGAATATGGAGAGCAAGAGAAACCATACTGGTTACATTCTCAACACAACCCACATAGTAACCTCACACTCTAGGTCTGAACACATTCTGAACAAATAATGAAGCTCTTAACCCTCAACCATAACATACCTTGGGCATCCATGAGGTCAGCTGGGAATGCCATGGCCCCCAAATACATTGCGTTGCCATCCAGGCGAGGTTGCCGGAAATGATGATTGCCTCGCCTTCCCTGCTGTCCTCCACTAGAACGCTGCTGTCCTCCATTTCGGGTTGCTTGAGGGGGAGGACGTTGAACTAAATGGATCACCTTTCCATTCACATCTAAAAGTAATATAAATAAGTAATGTTGAGGAACATTTAATCATTTGTTATACATCATGTTTTTAATATTATGCTAAAATATATACCATATTCACTCAGATTTTTATCATCTTGCAATACGCGACCACAGTAGATAAGACGCTGTGACTCCACGGGGAAACTAATGGACTCTGCAATGCGTTCCTTCAGCTGTTTCACAGTTGTCTGTAGAAACAAACACACATCAGTACACAAATTTTATTGGATCTTACCAATTTTAAATTTCTTTTTGTTACATGCTGTGCTTCCAACCAATAAATATCTCATGTGCATATGGAAAACAGCTTTTAAATCATTCATTTGTTTTGATACAGGGTTCATTACATAGTGTATCATAACACATTAGACATGAACACACGAATTTCACTTGTGCAATAATCAAAAATGTTATTCTGCATTATCTAGATAAGTTCATTAAATGTCTAAAACCTACCATGAAAAGAGAGGAAGTTGTAATAAGACACTAGTTGTGCTTTATAGCCAGCAATTAACTTAAACTTCAATATCATTTTAATTATTGTTGAAACATTAAATACAAGTTAAAATGCAAGTAAATTCTCAAAATACAGTTTCAAGTCTAATATTCAGTCTTCTAACTATCAGCTTAATAGCTAGAGAGACGTTTACAGTCGAGTAAAAGAAGTGGTGGAATTATATGAGAATTGAAGTAAATCAATAATACTTCTTGCTCCTTAGAAATGTACTACACACTATCAGTGAATGTTATACGCAAAAAGAAGTCCCACACAGCAAAATAAATATTTAAATAATGCCACTCTTATTGGTGTACTTCACTCAAGATCAATATTTTCTTGCTTCAATTCCCAAAAATGTACACAAGTGGCTGAGAAAGCTATTAAAAGATACTTCAATATTCTATTAATGAGATATAATTATCAGATTAAACATTTTTACTACATAATTTGGAATACTTACATCATCTGGCACGGAAAATGCATGGTTCTGGGAATCTAAAGTTTTCACTGTCAGTTCAATCATGGCGAAGTGTTCGCTGTAAAAGGATCATGCGTTGCAATTAAACTGTAATTGAAATACCAATTCACAACAGTTTAAATGACAAATCTTGCAGTGAAGTCGTGTCAAAAATGCAGAACGTAGCTCGGGAAGTGACGAACGAGCTACGTGATACGTAACACTGCATCGATTGTCGCAACACAACCGAAACGTTTTGAAAATTCACAGAAATATTCTTCTCGTCACAATTCATACGAGCGAATAAATTATTTATGATATGTAAGCAAGCAAATGGTTTCAAAATTGATGACATCCCAAACATGGCTGCAACTCCCCCACCCTTCGAAATAATCTCACCATTTTCACTCACCAGAACTTTTTACTACTATTTTACGTGACAAATCATCAGTAAAAGAGTCATGCCATTTTTAAGTGTCACCATCTAATAAAACATTTGCTCCATGATTTTACAAGATACGTCAAACCTACCTCGCAATTTCCGCAATAACCAATGAGGTCCTATTTGAAGTAAATATCTAGTGTTAGTATAGCGCTACTTTGGCGCTTCATTAATGAACAACTATTTTTCCACACAATCAATATGTGACGACGTGAGATGATTTAAATAACACTAAACACAAAAAGTTGAGGGGTAAACATCAGAAAAGTCGTCAGTTTCATCGCCAGTCACGGCGCGTCATAGATAGCCAATATATTGCTGAAAGGCAAAGACTGCTTTGCTTAACTTCTTATCTTTGTTCTTTGGATAAGTGCGCTAACTATCTACAATGCCGCTAATTTTGAACGTTGAAAGAAAAATATAAAAATTTAACAATTAACATTTCATTCTTAAATAGATTTTAAATTAAAATTCTTCATAAGTGAAGTGGGCCTCCTCCCTGGATGCGCAATATTTTGTAGAGGAGACTGTAGAAGAGATAATAAAATAGTTTTTATCTAGCATTACATAGACAACACTTTCGGTAGTAATTCGGAGGGCAGCACCGTTGGCACCGAGTGGCAAGCGGCAGGCGGCGGGAGGCTGCTATGAAGTCGTGAGCTTATAGATAAAACACGGGATAAGTGTCGATTTTGTTTTAAAAGGTCGTGATCATTCTTCGTTGGAGGTTTCCTCTGCTTACAATTGTTTTTAAAGGTTTTTGTTTTGCTCAGTTACCCTTTCTCGTGATGAGGTATTATTTTTTTCTAAAATGAAGCGGTATTTTCACGATAACCAAGTTGTGTCCGGTAGTGGACTGGGACAAAAGGGGACTTTCTGCATCTGCGGAATAAGCGTTTTTAGATGCCCTATTGTTCCCAAAAATCAGGAATGTAAATTTGTAGTATCCTCGTACCAAAGAGGACAAAAGTAAAATTCCGCTTTGAAGCATGAAAAGTTAGATGGTTATTTCAAGTCAATAGTAGGTTATTGCTTCTGTTCGTCTTCGTAAATTGCTATACACACGTCTAAAGATTCTCCTGTCATTCTCAGATGTTTCACGTAAAAACGTATGTAGATTTTCCAAATTTTTGCAATAATATAAACAATCCACTAAAGGACATAGATCGACATAAATAAGTATTTCCATTGCTTAAATGTGTACAAACGCTTCAGATTTTGTACTTCAGCTTCTGGGTCAATGACCCCCATTTCGATCAAGTTTTCGTCCAGTTTCCCTGTTTCACGAGCAAATGTTGAGATGACCCCTTGTTTTGCTTCTAGACATAAATGTAACTTCAAATTAACTTTTCCCTGTAGCACGTCATACACAGTTTTTAACTGTTTTTGGCATAAATAAATAAATAAATAAGTAAATAAATAAATAAGTAAATAAATAAGTAAATAAATAAATAAGTAAATACATTTTAAAAATCGTAAGATTAACAATATATGA